GTACATCGCATGTGTATGCACCAATGGTAAGCACCTCCGTTATCCGCGGCTGACTCAATGCTGATAGTATACCAAAGGCATGGTCTCATTCGTCATGCTAGCTGCAGGGAATAAAGCTGAATATTATTTTCAATCCTGTACGCTGTTGAGTTCCAGTCTCATTCTCTTAAAGCTGAGATTCTACATGGCAGTTTTGGCTTCTTCTTCGGTTCAAGTGCGCTAGCTATACCACTAACACACAAGACTCCGACTGATCCTTCATAACTTTAATTTGGAACAGCAATAGGTCTTTATCTTCCTGTTGTTGCAGCACCTGTGCCTCGTGAAGCAGACATGGGGTAAGTATTAAACTCTTTTTATCAGGATTACTCCATCACATTCAACCCAGGCTAAACTTGCAACACAGCAGGATCATGGGACTTGCTCTCTTCCCAGTCGGAATTTCCTCGCTGATAGGACCACCAATTGCCGGTGTAATTTTGGGCTCAGGTCTAATTTGGTGGAAAGCAATCATTTTTTCCGGAGTGAGCTCCCGAAAACGCCGGCTGCCTTTCCCTTTTGTGTTGGCTGATTTATCTTCGATAGATCACATTGGTTTCTGCCTCTGGATTGTTGGGTATTGCTCTGGTCCTTCACACAGGTCACCATCATTAGAATCTGCACAGGGTTGTTTTTTGTTGTGTTGATAATGTGGAGCCATGCTGGATATAGAATCATGTCTTGTTTCTTTGGCTATGAACACTAATCTTGGAGATTCTAAAGTGTTCCACAATCACATTCCACCTATTTTTTTACACACCAAATACGGAATTATCTCAACTTACCCCACAATGTGAAAGGGTGGTAGGACAATCTCGCACACAATTCAGGTAAGGGGATTTTACTTCTTTTCCTACGCGGGGAAAGTGCACCGGGTTTAGGTGCAATATGTACCTGTTTCCAGGGCCATTCAATCATCATCTTTCTTTGAGACATGAAAGACTCATGGAAAGGTGAACTTTCTGCAACCGTTTCCAATTGTGAGGAAAGAAGCTCTTTCCAAAATTTGAAACAAAGGAGAACAAAGGAATTTTGGAAAGGGGTTCTTTTAGTTGGAAATGGATACTGAAAGCTCTTCTTTGTTCTGATGGGGAAAAGATCATCTTTCCATCCCTCTTTCCTCCCTCGGAGAAAGATACTCAATACACGACCTGGAAACAGCCACAGATTGCGGTCTAATCCGCCGTTTTCCAGGATAAGAAAAAGAGGCACAATCCACTTGCTTGAATTTTATGGCGTTCAGAATGCACATTTAATAATACGCTATGTATCTACGCGTTTTTGTGTTTTGCGCTACCTTTTTTGTGAAATTTCCGTCTTTGCGCTACTTATTGGACTCCAAGGGAGAATAACGGAGGGAGCGGAAATTCTTGAATTTTCCGCTCCCTCCTTTGAGGCAATCCAAATTTACGCTACCTCTCATAGCGTATTATTAAATGTGCATTCTGAACGCCATAGAATTTTGTGCTGGATTGACCCAAGTTTCATTCACATTGTAGGGTAAGTTGATATAATTCCGTCTTCGGTGTGTTATGTATTCAACACATTTATTGATACTGTACTATTAAGTTCAATTCGACAGTCACGGGTCACGGGGACCCTTGTCGGTGTCGAATTCTGGTCAGTGTCACGGGTCACCAGGACCTGTTGTCGAATTGGTCCGCCGTGACACCACCAAGGGTTCGCCTGGAAATGCCGTTTTTTCGAGTTTTGGTGTTGAAAAATGTCGAATTTTGGCCACCGGTCACGGTCACGGCGGCTGTTTGTCGGATGTCGAATTTGGTTCAAATCGTCACGGGTCACACCCGGTGTCGAATTGAACTTAATAGTACAGTAGGGCTGCACACCGTGCTGGTAGCGTCGGTTCTACAGGTCCTGTGAAACAGGTAGCTGTCCCGTTCCACAGGGAATTTTACAGCCTTCTCCACAGGATGGTTTTTTTTGGATGACAGCCTGTTGGCAGATGACTGTAGATGGGCAGATAGATGCAAGCAAAAATGGGTGGGTTTTTCTGGTGAGTTTGTGCTACGGCCGAACCTTTATAAATATGTTGGAGCTGTGTTTAAGCAAAAATAATGTGATCAAATTATCATGTCCCAATTCACCTCTAAGGCATTTTTTCATGGAATATGGAGGTCATAGCACTTCATTCACTATCTTGCTTTCAACTGATAGTGCCTACAGAATCCTTCATCTGGTAGGACACTTCCAATAAGGAAGTCCCTAGTTCGACTCTGGGTCAGGCCCAGGTTAAGATTTGCAAAGTTTTTGCTTTTCAATTCCAAATTTATGTCCGTCCTCGATAATCCTCACAATAATAATAATGCACTCTGCTATCTTTTGTCTTGACTTTAGATGGTCTAATGGTGTAGTGTTTACATCTCCTCAATGATTCTGCTATATTCACAGAGGGTTTTGAGGAAGTCCCTGATTTGAATCCGGGTTAGGTCCTCGGTTGCATCCTCATCGGTTATTCTGCTTTTGAACCCCACACCAATTTATATCATCTCATTTGAGTCTTTCAAGAAAGTAGAATCCTTGCAGTGGCAGTTTTTGTCAGGCTGCCAGGATTTACATCATAATGTCACTGACGCCTGGTGCAGCAAGGAATTAAAGTTGAATGAATATTTCACAGTGGCAGATGATAGTATGGTCTGATGGTGTAGTGGTTACACGTCCTCTTAATATACATCTGTACCATGAGGCTTATGAGAGGAGGCTCCCGGTTCGAATCCGGGTCAGGCCCTAGTTGCACTCTGCTGAAGTTTTTTTTTTTTTTGCCTCAAAATTCATATCACCTCATCAGACAATTCATATCACCTCATTAGACTTTCTATCCCCCCCAATAATCCTTAGAGTGCTCTCACCTTGAATTGATGGGTGCTCTCACCCTGAATTCAATTTCAGAAGAACACTTGCTTTCAAGCCATTTGAGAAGAAGAAGACTTGCTATTTAAATGAGCTTTTGTGTCTGCGATGTGGGATGAAAGGGAAAGAAGGTGTTCGGAGACAGAGCAATGGTGTAAGGATGACCTGATGGTGTACTGGTTACACAACCTCTTTATCTGCACTGCCGCTTGTAATCTTATGAGGAAGTCCTCGGTTCGAATCCGGGTCAGGCCCTGCCTCGCTTTTGCGACACTTTTTTTTGTTTTGTTTTTTGCTCGTTAAAATTTATCTCAACTCATCGGATTTTTCAACCATCCTCGCAAAATGCACTCTGGCATTGTCAGTTTTTGTCCAGCCGGGATGTTATGTACATTGATCGCAGTGTAATGGATTTGGTGCAGCAAGGAATTGAAGAATGAGATAACCGAGATGCAAGTGCGGGATGGCCTGATGGTGTAGTGGTTACATGTGCTCTTCATTTGGACCTCCCTTGTGTCCGTGGTAATATTTGGAGGAAGTCCCCGGTTCGAATCCGGGTCAGGCCCTACCTCACTTCGTCGACACTTTTGTTTTTTTGCTCGTTAAAATTTATCTCAACTCAAGGGCGGTTTTCGACAATCTGGAATCTTGTGTGGAGAGTTTGCATGGCATACAGGATGAAACAGGAGTACATATAGAGCCCAGTCCATCATTGACAATGGCCTGATGGTGTAGTGGTTACATCTCCTCTTATAATCGCAATTTTATGTAGTTTCGATTTTCAGAGGAAGTCCTCGGTTCGAGTCCGGGTCAGGCCATGAATGCGCACGAAGGTTTCTTTTTTTTTTCTTCTTTCTTTCTTCATCTTTCTGGTTTCATTATTTTCGAAAACTGGCTCTCTTTTGCTTTCGCCATAGCATGACTTGCCTGTTACTACCCAGTATCGAACGAGATAAATCGTACAATAATCTAATCAGCATTCCATAGTAATCGCTACCCTGCCATCCCGAGTACGCCCGATGCCGCTCCTCGGAGACTGGGTCGGATCATATAGATTCCTAGGCGCCTCGGAATATCCAAAGTTGATCCCAAGAGTCAAAGACCTGCCCAGGCCTCGGAGCATCGTTGCTCGTCATCGACGACGTCCATTCCTGCTTACAAGTGTAATTGTAAGCGGGAACTGAAATGGCTTGAATGACCCCTGGCTGGACTGAAGCCGCTTGGTAATATAATCCGTGCACATCGCACGCCGGGAGTCGTTTTCGCCGTACGATGAGTACGCGGGATGCGATGAGTACGCAGGCTGCGATTGGACGATGGGATGGATTGATGTTCGCTAAGATGTGATTTGCCTGCCGCCTGCCGCCAATCGAAAATAACCTGCCGCCAATCGCTAAAATCCTGACAGCGCCTAAAAAAAAGCCTGACCAAGCATCCCGGAAGGAATTATCGGCGCGTGGTTTGGTGCGGGAATTACGCTGGTGGCCAGACCGACCGGGTTGTTTGGTTTTGTCACGGTGCGACGGGCTCGTTCTCTTCGCTCGAGCCTTGAGCGTACCTACCGCTCACACCCATCGACACACCCACACCCACCCATACCACCGTCTACTGGCAGAGATGCCGCTCGTTGTTGTTTGAGGTGGAGGCTTGACGAGACGAGAAGAGACGAAAGCAAGAAAGGAAAGGAGACAGACGAGAAAGGATTAGGATTGAAACAGAGGAGGAAGAAAACGGATTACTCGGACTCGGGCGAGCAAGCACTGCCTTTGCGCCTGCTTACCCGACTTTGCGACGGAGGAAAATCTTGCTTTCCTTATTCACCGACCACAGATCCCTTGGCTCCAGGCTTCGAATTCTCCCTAGACGGATATCCATCCCATCCCATCCCACACCAGTCACTTACACCATACCGCATCCCATTTCTCGGACCATCTCAGCTACGGACCAGAACAACAAGAACAAGAACAACAAGAACCCAGCCCCGACGATGCCCCGCGCGCCCAGCGTCCCGCTCCCGCCGCCCGACGATGTGGCGGCGACGTACGACAAGCAGCCAGGGAACACCCGCCAGGATCTGCTCGCTGCCTCGGCCTCTTCCCTTTCCCCGTATCCGCCAACGAATACCGCCTCTTTATTGCCCAATACCCCACACCCACAGCGATCCAAGTCGTCGAGCGACGCCACGCTCACGAACGCCCCATTTTCCTCGTCTACATCAGCAACGCCGACGATGAAGGCACAGTCAAGAGGCGACGACGACACGCCGACGCCCACCGCGGCCAACCCCAATTCGAAACCGAAGCCGCTGCAGTCGCAGACGGCGCCGTCGTCGCCGACCCCGCCGCCGATGACGCCGTCGGTGAAGAGGGCCGCGAGTACGAGTGGTGCGTTCGCCTTCTTCTGTATATCAAGTGCTCCTGCTAACGCACTGATCTTTATACTCGAAAACAGGCGCGGCATCAAATCCTCCAAGCTCAAATCCCACCAACAATCCAAGCAACGCCAAGTCCGCCCCGAACACGCCCGCGGTCCCCGCGCAGAGGGCGCCGTCGAGGGCTGCGAGCGTGGCGAGCAGCGAGGCCAGCCATGGTGCGTTGCGTTGCGTCTTTGATTCCTTAGTTGGCATAAGCAGCGTCGGCGAGAGGGAGGTGGAGACGTCGTCACTATGTGGGATGCTATACGGCGCCCATCCTGGGCCCTGGTACCGCAGCGGCATGTGGTGTCCAGGCCTGGACGAGCGTTGGGACGTGGAGGCCAGTGTTGGTGTACGGGTCGTCCCTCGTGGCGTCATGGGGTACCGTCGTGCATCTCTCGCACCCATCCTCCTCTCCCATCCATCCATCCCCCTTGTGTCCCCTTGTATCCCCTTGTATCCCCTCCCTTCCCCTCCCTCTCCTTCCCTCTTTCCCCCCACCCATCCTCCATCCGCTATATCTGTAAGAACGCTCGCTAACTCCCTTCTCCCCACTTCTAGCCCCCTCCCACAAATTCACCCTGAAAGACCTGCTCGCCTCCGGCCCGAAGCTCTCGCGCCGCTCGTCCGCGCGGAGCAACGCCAGCTCGCGGCATAGCGAGGGGGATAGCGAGAGCGAGGGCGGGAGCGTTGGGTGGAAGGGTGAGTTGTTTCTTCTTTCTGTTTATTATCTTCGAGTGGGTTTTTTGGTTCGAGTTTTTGTTTGAGTTCTGTTCTGTTTTCGAGTTGGCGTTGTTTTCGAGTTGGCGGTGGACGTGCCGATTCTTTCTTCTCTTCTTTCTGTTCTATTCATCCCCGAGTTGCATTTCTTCCCGCGTTTTCTTTCCTTTTCGCGTTTTCTTTCCTTTCCCGTCTCGCAAAACCGGCAAAACTTTCTTTCCCGCATCCCGAAACAGCAAAACTAACTAACACCCCTCCCCAGGCTCGACGAAAGGAAAGGGCTCCAAGTCCGGCTCGAACAAGGGCTCCAAGTCGGGCTCTGCCTACGGGGGCTCAAATAAAGGGGGGAGCAACAAGGGGAGCGAGACGGCGAGTCTGACGAGGAAGTATGGGGTTTGTCAGAAGGTGTGTGGACGTTTTTCTTCCGAAATCTCAATGGGGGTTTTTTTTTTGTGGGGGAAATAATGGAGGTTTGGGGGGAGGGGAGGGAGAGGGGGATGGGATGGGAGCGGACCGCGGTGCCTTTGCGCGGAAACTACGGAGGGCGGGGATGCGCCCTTTTCGCCTGTGGCCCAACCGCTCAAAAGCTTCGAGCGCTCAGGGGCGGGTGCATTGCCGGCATTGCGCTGTTTTCGCCGTGCGGGTGCGGAATCGGCATCGGTCGGGGGTGCGCTTAGCCGGCAGCGTGGTCGGTGGCCGTGGGACCTGGGGCGGGCGTGGTGTCGTCCGCATCTGCGACGTCGGCGTCTCCACGCTCCGCACCCTCCCACCATCCCTCTTTATTCATTCCTTTCCTCGCTTCCTCGCTATGTCTTTATCAATTCGGTCTTGGTTTTCGGCGCTAACGCACCTCACGCAGGTCGCCATCGGCAAGGGCGCCACGTCCGTCGTGCGGCTGGCGCACAAGTGGGACCGCTCGGAGGGGGAGAAGATGTATGCTGTCAAGGTGGGTGTCGCTCTGTCTTTCCATTCCTCATAATACGTATTTGCACTATGTGCGTTGCGAGCGTCATACTCTGCGCTCCACGTATCCTCGATGTGTGGTGCGCGGACGCGGTGGGGCCGAGAAACGGAGCGGAGCAGGAGAAAGCCAGGAGTGGACCCTGCGTCTGGCAAAAAAGGCGGCGGAACGCGACGACGGGGACGGGGACGGGGGGCTTTTCGCTGCCTTGTCTTGCCTTGCCCCGACTCTGCATGCCGCTCTCTTGATGTGCCGTGCTCTCCCCTCGCCGCCTCCACCCACCCATCGTTTCTTCATACGAAAGAAAGCAATAACAGAGAACTAACGCTCATCCCACAGGAATTCCGCAAGCGCCGCCGCACGGAGACGGAGAAGGAGTACGTGAAGAAGCTGACGGCCGAGTTTTGTATAAGGTGGGTCGTCGTTCTTTCGTTCTATGTGTTCTTCGCCTCGATGGCGTCTGTCTTTCGCATTGCTTTCGAGAGCTTCGACCTCGAGTTTCTCGATATCACATTGTTCCTGCATTTCACCCGATTCTTACTCACCCACCCTTCGTTTCGTATTCGTTAATCCCTGCGCTTCGTCGTCGCTGTCCCTTTATATTTCCCTTTTTACATATTTTTGCTTCATTTTATTTGAATTCTTCTTTTCTGTCTACTCTTACTCCCCGCTATACTCATACTAACGACGCACACAGCTCGACGCTACACCACGTGAACGTCGTCGAGACGGTCGACCTCGTGCAGGACGAGCAGGGGAGGTGGTGTGAGGTTATGGAGGTGCGTTTTTTTCTCTCTTTTTTTTCTCGTATTTTCGCTTTGCGATATTCACCGTTTGGGGGTGACCGAGTGTACGGCCCGGAGCTTTACGATGGGTGCTTGGCGCTGGCGGTGGGGGCAAGGCCGATACCCCATCCTCCGTGCACACGGAGGATGAGGCGGTGGTACCCATCGTGCTGCATAGAGGCGGAGTCGCGCTGCTTGGCGACCTTGACCCGGAGCTTCGTGGTGGGTGCTCGGCGCCTCGTCGGCACTGGCAAGGGGGAAGGCCATACCCCATCCACGCCGCAGCGCACGGAGGGTGAGGCGGTGGTACCCATCGCGTTGGATAGAGACGGAGAAGGAGTCGCGCTGCTGGGCGACCTTGACCCGGCCATTGCGGGAGGCGGTGATACCCCATCGAGGACGGCGTGCTTTAACGAGGGGAGGAATGCGTCGCGAAGGCGGCATTGGAGCACAGTCGGCCGAGCGTGTCCGACGCTCGGAGGAGCAGGGCCAATGCCCAGCCAGACGCGTGTGCTCAAACGGACGAGGTCCCGGATGTCGAGACTTGGACGTTTCGAGGACGGCGCATCGCTGCGGTGCCATGTCGTCGACGTGCTTGGCTGTCCGATGCGGGCGGGTCTGGGCCGGGTCTTGGGTGTCGATGGGCAGTGTATTGCGATGTCTGGCGGCCGGCCTGTTTTGGTCTTGACGCTGCCATCGATACCGACGCCCATCTCTCCTCCCGACTGCACCCGCGTCGTGGTCCTCCGCCCCCGACGGCCTCTTTCTTTTTTCTGTTCACTAACGGCTATCTGCTATCCCTCTCTCTTTCTCTCCCTCTTGCCTACGTAATCAAATCGAGAGAGAGGAAAAGAATGCTGACGTACGCTTTTGCTTTTGCAGTTCTGCCCCGGCGGGGACCTGTACGCCGCGATCAAGAAGGGCGGGATGAGTCCGAGT